AAAAAATGTGAATATCCAACTGCGTATAAACACGCCTTAGTTATCCCAGTTCCGAAGGTCAATCCGCCAAGAGATATCGAGAATGACTTTCGCCAGATATCCATTCTTCCCCAAATGGTTAAAGTGCTGGAAAAGCTGCAGCTCAAACTGAACCTTCCCAGTTCACGTATAAATGATAATCAGCATGCCTTTACAAGCAAACGATCAACCGTGTCCGCACTCACCAACATCTCGCAGAACTGGTTTAATGTGACCGACAATACGCATAGCGCCAAAAATGGAGTTCATGCACTATTCATAGATTTTCGCAAAGCGTTTGACCTTGTTGACCACGGAATTCTACTTCGTAAGCTCGCAGAAATGAATGTAACCAAAGCCTTTTGGCTATGGACGCGTAGTTTTCTGGAAGATAGAAGACGACAGGTCAAACTAGCAGGAACCCTATCATCGGTCAAACCCTATCATCGGTCAAACCTTGTCCTGCAGGAGTCCCACAAGGTTCTGTGATGTCCCCGCTCTTTTTAATATTCACATTAACGATATTGAGAACTCAATCCCAAATGGATTATCCATAAACATATGCAAATACGCGGATAATTGTACACAGGACGAAGTGGTGTCACAAGGTTCATCCAGCCATATGCAGGAGGCCCTTGAAGCAGTACAAGAATGGTCTAATAGGAACAAAATGACGATAAATTCGAAGAAAACAAAAGATATGTGGATATGTTTTAACACAGCAATACCGGCACCAGAACCATTGGTCATTGGAAACGAGGTAGTGGAAAGAGTAAATACTCATAAACTGTTGGGTGTCTGGCATCAAAACAATTTGAAATGGAACTGTCATGTTAAGAACATTGTAAGGAAAGCAAATAAACGAATGTTTAGTCTGAGAGAATGCCGTAGGGCGAATCTTTCTCCTGAGGTCGGTATTACATGTTATGAATCCAAGATTAGACCTGTTTTAGAATATGCAGCTCCGATATGGGGTGGTTTACCACAATATCTCATTGATGAAATAGAGAGCATTCAAAACAGATGCATCAAAATCCTCGGCACATCTCGGTGCAACTTTGAAACGCTGGAACAAAGAAGGGCACACCTAACTGTTAAGGAATACCAAAGAATTCTAAGTGATCCGACCAACCCATGTAATAAACTTATCCCCCAACCTTTTACCCATGAACACGATCTAAGAACAACAAGTAATCTACCATATGTTGTATCGTATACTAAAAGATACCGGCAATCCTTTATACCTAGAGCTATATCCCTTTTAAAACAGTCCTAAATTAATTTTATAGAATATATAACTAGTATAAACATTTTTAGCAACATTGATGTAAATAATAGTAAAATTTCTTCTTATCAATTTTAACCTTAGCACTTCTTGTAAATCCATTGTACTTTTTTAACCAAAGATGGATATTAAATGTTATTATTATTTTAGTATATCAGAATAATCCCGACCCCCATAAACCAATAAACCTCTAACCCGGGTATTGAGGAAAGAAAGCCATAGATCGCAGCAACTGCCAGCAGACCAAGTATAAAATGCAGAATACGGATCAATGAAAAATGCGTAATTTTCAATTTTCGAGACGTCCCAACATGCCTTGAAGGGGCAAAATATTTCGTTATTTGCAGCGCGACTGGAAAATCGTTTTCAACCAAACCTAGACTGTTTTCATTTTATGTTTGGTAAAGCCTTCCAGTTGCCAGAGTTTTAGCGAAGATCATGTTTGAAATGAAATTCGAGCGGGCGGTTTTTACAGAGACAGCTTCTTAAAAATAATGCAGCGTGCACATAGCATTACTACTCACTGGGGCACTCTATGCCCAGGCGAGTATAGGTTTCAGCATGGTTAGTGGATTCAACCGCCCGATGTCGTCAAAAAATGAACAATGTAATGAGCCGCTCAATCCACCATCCACATAAGGCTGCTGCCAATTTTACCCTAATTATCCATAAATAACCGTGCATTTTGAGGAAAATTCGGGATAATTGAACAATTTTACAAGGAATTTCGACATGGAAACAACAACCTTCGCAAATCGCTAGTTACGTTTAATGCGCTGCTTTATATTTTGAGAAGAAAGCGACGCCGTTCGATTCAGCGTAAGAAATTGTACTTACGGATGTCAAATGTATTGCTAACCAGTATTATAGCGATTTATGGCCTTTGAAAATCAAGCGAAATTGTATTGTTGACAAATCGCTCGCAGTACGTTTGTCATGCAGTCCTTGTATTTGTAATGCCTAATGGTGCAATAAGGATAAAAATACCACCGTTCGATTCATCGTTAGAAATTGTACTAATTACGGATGTCGAATGTATTTAGTAACTGTTAAAACAGTATTCTAGCGATTTATGGCCTTTATCTTTGAAAACCAAGCGAAATTGTATTGTTGACAAATCGCTCAAAATTATTAAACTATAAATTATAAAAAATGCAGTACGTTTGATCCTTGATAACTTTGGTATCGTTGGTTTTCTCGTTTTCGGCCGTATACCAGTGGATTCGTCTCACTTCTCTCTTCATTTTGATAGTATTTTGAGCCCAAAAGCCCCAAAATATTTTATTTTGAACGTTTTAAAACGCAGTCTAATCCTAGCGTAGTCAGCGTACGGACCAACTGGCGGCTGACAGTCTTGAAGAATGTAGCGCACTAAATATAACTTTACTTGTAGGGCCTAGCGTATTTTAGTACTGTGTAAGCCTTTCGCGCTCGTAATCGACTTTCCGCTCAGCTCGGGGAAAACCTAAAATCTTAATTGAAATAGCTTTGTAGCGGTACGTATCATGTACAGTAATGTGCGTATTTGTATAGCCCCAGCGAGTTAACGCTCCGTAGAGCGTCTTGTTAAAAATAATGCAGCGTGCACACAGCATTATTAAAAATAATGCAGCGTGCATCAGTGCACACAGACATTATTAGCAATAATGCATCTTCGTCACCCTGACATGTACACGCGATAACGTGAACATCTCAAGATGAGAAGGTAAAGGCCCCTCATACAATATCATTGGGCGCCTGAAGCACTGCCAAAAACGGTCACTGTGAGTCCTTTCAGCTCAATTTTATAGAGAAATAGTTTCGTTTGCGCCATCCTCGTTCCCAGGGCTTCTTACGGCAACGCAAGCAGCCGAGAAGCCCTGGGAACGAGGATGCGTTTGCGCTTGTGGGATTTTATCCTAGATATACGCATGTGCAGAACACACCATAAGTTCTATTCCCGTGTTCGAGCCCGTGTTTATCCAGTTTAATACGCTCTTTGAATTAACCTTATCATTAATGATATGTAAACTAGAACACTATAATTGACCTCCGCTTGTGGAGATTTTAATTTAGGGCGATTAATTAAACTGAAATCTGTTCTATCACGATGCATTACATGCATGTCCTTACAAATGTCTAGTGTAACGTTGGATACCTTCATTGTCATACGGACCCGACAAGCAGCGCAGCAACGTACTGTAGTCTTCCAGCCGAAAATAATTACTTTTGATTCGGGTCAGTAATTATATTAGATACTTACTGAGGCCAACTGGCATTATTGGATATATTGCAGCCAGCTTCGGCCTTCGGCCTCAGCTGGCTGCAATATATCCAGTAATGCCGTTGGCCTCAGTAATTATCTAATAAACAATCCGTATCGCCCTCGTCTAAACCTTTTTTTTTCTAGTTACGACGAGGCAAAAATTCGGTGTGAAAAACTTCAAAAACACACTCTGCAAAAACACTCAATCAAAGGTCAAGCCGAGGAAAGCCATCAAATGAACTTTTCAATATTTATAAAAGCATTTTCAATTCTTCCGACTCGTTTCGAACAGCAATAATAAAACTGCAAGAGTAAAGCAGAAGATAAAAACAGCACCAAAAATCTTTAGGAATACTAGAAAACTTATTCATAGTCGAGTTTGACTACTATTGGACATTTGATTTCCACAAAATGATCATTTCAAAAACTGTGAGGTTTTGACCGGGTGTAAAAAGTAATCAAAGGTCGTTCAGGCCGACTCACGGATAAGATCAAATGAAAGTGACAGAAAGAATTAGAGCAGTTTGCAGTTGTTTTTGTAAAACGGACACCGTGCAAAGTTTAACATTTCACCCATTTGTTGTGCTTCATTTGCCAAATCAAAAGAACGAACGCGTGTTCCAGCCCGATTCCGGTTCTGAAATGCCCGATTTGTAGGCAAACAGTGCGCGTAAAGCAGCTGGTAATTTGCCATTGTTTAACTCCCCACACTCACCTCACACTCAGTAGAGTCAAAAATGAAGATAATAAAAGTACGAATTATTTTCATGAAGAAATGCACAATAAATCATGCACAAAACTATATATAATTATTTTATAATTCTTCTTAAACTTTTTCGTGCGTACACTGCACGTATTACTGCCTAAAATGAATATACTTTGACGTACCTTCCATAAGCTCCATAAAGATGTAAACATGTTTCCCATCATCATACGCTCCCAGGAGTGTCACCACATTCTGGTTTGAAGACAACACTGACCATATCTTGATTTCGTTTTGTTTGAAATCTTCACACAGAATCTAATTGTAAAGAGTGACAATCCATTCCAGAATGTGGGGGAGGGGACGTCGGCCAATAGACAACGACGCCCCACTGCCTAGAGTAGAACTGAAATTGCAATCTTGTGGATTAGGGGAGTTCCGTGGGATACATTAAGCATAGCTATTTTCTCCGTTTATTTTGCATGCATGAACCGCCGCCAGTAGTAATATAGGTACCGTTCGACCCGGATTTTTGGGGCGGAGGAAGGGGGGAGGAGGGCCGAGGGGCGGAGGAAGGGCGGAGGAAGAGCGGAGGAGGAGGGGCGGAGGAAGGGCGGAGGAGTGTGGTGGAGTGAGGAGTAATGACGTCACGCCGGCAAATTTGGGCTTACACAGCCGCACATTATATATGCAGGTAATTAAGGGGGCCGCACATTATATGCAGTTCACTCACGGGCTTTAGGACAAATGCAATTCGACAACAATAGTATTCTATCTAAATGGCAGTTGAAATAAAGTGTACGGCACCTGAACTGTTCAATATCTTGCTTCTATATCCATAAAACATTTACATATATGCAAATGCTGTATATTTTCAAAATCCGCCATATTTATTTACATTGGAACCCACGCTTTCGCGGTTCAGACGAAATATTAACGTCGGTGATTTTCACTAATAATAAGAGGGTAGGATTAAAGTGGGCGTTGTCACTTGCTAACCCAATCAGCTGTCTGGGTTCTGTACCACGTGACCTATTCAAATCGTTCCGAGCGGGAAAAATCTTATGACATCATAACGGCTTCGATAAAATATTTTGGGGACACGTTTGTGCCATATAAGGAAGTTGGGGACACGTTTGTGCCATATATGGAAGCATGGTTTCCTCGCGCTTCGAACGATTAAATAATTGGATGATCCTATCCTCTTATTATTAGTGAAAATCACCAGATGAACGACGTACTATTTCGTGTGAACCGCGAAAGCTTGGGTTCTAATGTAAATAAAAATGGCGGATTTTGAAAGTATACAGCATTTGCATATATGTAAATGTTCTATGGATACAGAAGCAAGATATTGAACAGTTCAGGTGCCGTACACTTTATTTTAACTGGTATTTAGATAGAATACTATTGTTGTCGAATTGAATTTGTCCTAAAGCCCGTGGTTCACTTAATATATGCATGACGTGACGCGGGCAAGTTTGGACGAGGTCGTGTGAAACTTGCTGAGTAGGTATTTTTTAGCGTCCCTCCACGTGTGTGATACAATAGAGGGATTAATATTGGTTTACTTCGGGCGCGAGGCTTTACGGGCAAAAATTTACACACGATTTCAGTTTTAAAATACATTTATTTCTTCAAAACGTTTTACAAAATTTAGTACGGTCTACTTCTAAGAGCGTAACGTTTAGGTGTTTTTGTTATTTTTAAAGAGTTCTCATACTCTTGTCTGTCTTGAGGGGATAACTTTGCTACTTGCTCGGGTTTCATTGGAATATATATTTGGTCTGTCGCTCAATATAAAACGTTCATACCGCTCTCTTTCGTTCGGTTTCATCATAGCCAAGTCACTTTCTTTCCAATCAGCAGAATCTACCAAATTGTGAAAAAAGTTGCGCTTGAGTTTTGGCCGTTCCTGTTCTGTTGATGGTGGCGTAAAGAAATTAGGTTTAGGAGTAGCAGGCACTGGTGGAGTTGTTTGAACAGGGGCTTGAGCCGGGACATCCATCCTATTTTTGAATGTGAGAAACCGATTTAGTTGATCAGAGTAAAGCTTGCTTTTTTCCACGGCACTAAGCTGTGGTGCATCCATGATTTCTTTCATTCTCTGTTCGGCATCATACATGGCGTTTACAAGTGGTAGTTGACGATACGACTGTTTGTGTAAAAACTTTGCAATCTCGCCGGGAAGTACGGTTGTCTTGAGTCGTTGTTGATCGTCTGTTCTTGCCTTTAAATCCAACATCAAATACTCGTGAGGTCGGCTCGTAGCATCTTCATAACTCCTCATAAACTCTTGTACTTTCCCGGGATTTACTTGTCTGGCAAGCATAGAAATTTGCTGTTTATCTCTTGGTGACTTGAACAACACGATATAGTGAGCATTAAGGCTGATATTTCTCATTTCTTTGCCCTGATGAAATATATTTTGGACAATATA